AGGCGCCGGGCACCGCGGCTTGCAGCCCCGTGGGCGGGGCGGACCCCGCTGCCCCCGCTGCGATCGAGCCCTGCCCCCGCCGGAGCCCAGAGCAGGCTGTGCTCTCCGGGCTGCGCCTGGCTCAGGGGTCCCGTCCCGCCCTCTCCGGAGCCCTGTGTCCTTCCAGCCCCGACTGCCGAGGGGCCCCTTCCCCCGAGCCCTCCAAGGGGGGGATCGTTCCTCGCCTTGCAATTGCAATGCAAACGAATGGGTGCCCCCTGGCCGGCCCGGAGCTGGGGCGAGAGGGAGGCGGAGGCGAGGGAAGACCCTTGGTGCCCCCAGCGCCATCTGCCCCCCTCGGCGCCGCCCCCCGCGCCGCTCGGGCTTTCTCAAGCAGCCCTCCCCTTCTGCTTCCTTCTAGCCGAAAGGGGGCTGGCCCGGTTGCTCGGAGGGGCACTCGTTCCCCATCGCCCCGGCGCTGCTGGAGGGAAATGCCAAGGCAGCCCTGGCACAGCGCGTCAGTGGGTCTCAGCCCGGAGACCCCGGCAGGGGGGCGGCAGGTGCCTCGCCGTGCTAGCGCTGCCGGGCGCCCCAACAGCTTCACTGGATAATCCCACGGAGTTCAGAGAGGGATCCAGCGGGTTGGAAAGAGCCGCTTGAGGAGGGGCAAGAGAAGGGTTTACAAAATACTGAAGGCGAGGAGAACGCAAGAGGGACCTCTTATTCTTTGCAGTGCAGGAGCCGGGGTCACAGCGTGAAACCAGCAGGGGGTCAGTTTAAAACTGGTGCGAGGAAGTCCTTTCCCCCCAGCGAGTCACTGAGGGGTGAAAGCCGTTGCCACCAGCTGTGGTGGGAGCTGCCGGTTCAGCCAGATTAAAAAGGGATTGGACCCGTTCTTGGAGCAAAGGGGCAGAGCAGGGGAACTTGCTAGAGTTTAAATGCTGGAGGCTGCAGGTGGGGAGGAACAGCGGGCCCAGGTCACCTCCCTTTCAACACCCGCGCTCTGCCCCTGCGTGGCACGGGAGCCTGAGCGAGGCGGGCCTGTGGTCTGACCCAGTAATTAGCAGTGTTTTAGGGGTCTTTCTGAGTTCTTCGCACCAGAAGAATTGGTTTCGTATTTTTTAGGTAACACGGGAAAAAAGGAAGAGCTAGCATTTTTCGGGGGTGGGGGAAGGGAAGGGGCTCGATCCTAGGAGGGGGTCACGGCTACAACGAAGCTGACGCCCTGCGCTGGTGAGTAGTTGAAGGGAGGTAGGACGAGACCCCACCAGTGGTCAAACGGGGCCCTGAGGTGGTTACGGGTGAGCGGTAGGTGCAGCGGACTCCCCGCGGGGAATGAGGAGGCCATGAGGATGCCGAAACAGTCGGCCCAAACTCTGGGCACCCGGTTCCCTCCGGCGGGGAGATCCCTTCACTCTCCCCGGTCTCCTCGGCCCCAGTTACTTCATCTGGGGCGCCTGTGAAACTGACCAGCCCGCTGGGCTGGGCCTGCCCTGGCCAGGAGGGTCATGGAGCTGTTTCAACTCCGAGCCGTGAGCTCTCCTCTCGGGAGGAGCCCTGGAGGCTGCGGCTCCGGGATGTAAAATGAAAATTAATCCCCACCCGGCGCGCGCTGCACAGATGGACCCCACGCGGCAGCGGCGCTTTATGGCCTTTCTTTGATTAAAATAACAAGGGAAAGCTGCAGGCGAATTCACTTAATGTAAAAATAGAAAATATGACTTTACAGCCCTACTTAGGATATTGGCTCCGGGACCGGAGAACGAGTTTCCCGGGCGGCTAACACCCCCTCCGCCCGAGATCGATGGGACACGAACCGGTTTCGACAAACAGCCATAAATCACGGCTTTGCACAACGCCCTCGACAAGATGCAACAGGAAAGCGTCAGGCGGTTTTGGCTGGCTCTAATTCAAACGGGCGCAATTAAAGCAGGTGGCTAGGCAGCAGCTGGCCCCGTGTGTTTGGGGGGTTTTATTCTGGGGCAAGCAGCTAGCACCAGTACGACCCAGTCTCTAGATCCGATGCATATGCGGTGAACATACGGGCTGGGTGCCTCTTGTATGTCTTGCTTTAGATGAGTAGACGCCGGGCACACACTGCGGAGCCGCAGTCAGTTAGCCGCGGCTGGGAAGGCAAGTAGCGATACACCTATTTGTTCCTAACGAGAGCCAGGTGTGGTTTATCTAACAAGCTTTCCTCTATATCCATCCATCCGCTATACCCATCCCATATCCCCATGGGTGCCCCCACCCACAAGTACCCTCTAGGTGTGTCACTTATATGCATAGGTTCCTCTCTGCAGCCTCTCACTTTGGGCACCGACAAGGTCTATAGCTGGGTGCCCCGCAGACACACGAAGCCACCGGGCCCGGAGGTGCTGCTCGGGTGGGTGTTGTCAGCCCCTCTCCACCCAGGGCGCAGAGGCCTGCGTCTTCCTCCTCCAAGGACTTTACCCGCCCTGGCCTCTCGCGCCGGCATTACCAGTTCCCCCCACGTGTCCCGTTTGCTCCCAGTGCTCGGCGCTGGAGGCCGAGACCTGGCGAATGAACTCGGCTGGGCGGGGGCGGGGCCGGCGAGCTGAGCTGCCCTCGGCGAGCTCTGTGCCCCCCGGCAGGGGCAGCCGGACGCGGCCACCAGCCCGACCCTTCCCGCCGAGGGGGAGATGGCCCTTGGCAGAGCCTTGCTCCCCAGCCCCAGCTCTCGTCAACCGCTGCTGGGCGGCGGCGCGGGGCCCACTCGCGTTCGCGGCGGGATCGATGGGGCCGCGCGTCTCCGAGACCAGTCGGCGGCCCAAAGCACCTTCAGAGGCAGCCCCGGCACCGCTCCCGCCCCAGGCCCGCAGGGCGGCGGGGCAGAAGCCCGGCTCGGCTTCGAGAGGCGACCGCGGCCGGTGCCCCAGCCAGGGCTGCAGCCTGCTTCGGCGCGGGGGGCACTGCGGCTGCCGTCTGTCCGGGCCGGGGCCGCGGCACCCAGCTGCTCCTCCCCGGCCGGGCTCGCCTGCCTTTGTACTCAGTGAAGGGTCCCGAGTTGACTCCAGAGCACCTCACCTCCGACACCCGGGATCTCCCTCCTGCCCCCCCTCCCTTCGCTTCCTGTAGAAAGCGCTTCAGGTGATCTCACCTTGGAGCTGGAACTGGAGTCGGCAGCTCCCCCCTCCGCCAAGTCACCAGGACCTGCTTTTTCCACCCACACCTAGCACGGGGGGAGTCACCGCCCCACTGGGGGGCTCTGTGAAGCGCTTTAAGTAATTATTCATCTCACACTTTCAAGACCAAAGTGCTAAGGGCTCATTTCTTGGCTTCCCTCCTACTAGCTTATTTCTTTATCTATTATTATTATTATTATTTTAGATTAGGATCTGGAGGAGAAAACTACCGGCCTGGTTTTCAGTTTGAAAGAGCACAGGCTTTCTGACCTGAGCTTTAGCTGGGGCCGGGCAGGAGAAATAACACGGCGTAGGCAGCGGGCCAG